TTCAGATCTGGTTCGATTATGGTTCAAGTAAGATCCTTGAATATAGGATTCTAAATTTAGGGAATATGATTCCCAGTTGGGAGAAGGTAGAAAAATTTTTGAAATTCGCCCACCCATTCCGCAACCTTTTGGCGTCCATTAGATGGATCCTACCATTCTTTCAGTTGGTTGTTGTACAAGGAATTCAGATTGCCAACCAACTTCGGGTAGAGAAATTACTGATTGAAGGGGACTCTAAGGTGATTCATGATTGTAGGTTGGTTGCTGAACCCTGATTCAGTTACTTGGAGCTATAGGGATCTTATGAAAAAAAATTGAATGGTTAACAAGACATGTGGCAATTAGAGTCCAATGGGAGGGGTAGGTTGGCAAATGCTTTCGCTGACTTTCTTGCCAAACAAGGGGTATCTAGGGAAGAACTTCTTTGGGCAAGTTTGTAAATTTTCTCTTGTTTTTTTCTTGCCTCTATAATGTTAGGAGAGGCTGCACCTCACACCTCTTCAAGGGATGCTTGTAACAGTTTATCTTCTTTGATTAATGAAATTATCTTTCAATTATCAAGAAAAAAAAAGAAGTTAAAAGGCCATTTGATCCCAGCTTGGGAGGGGTAGACTGGATGTGGTCCTAACCTTTGGTATTTTTTGCACAAAATGACCACACTCAGACTCAAACCCGTGTTCTCACACTTCCAGCCTGAGATTTTACCATTACACCAAATAACAGCCCCTTAGTGTTGTTGGGCTACATACAATAATTCTAACCTAAGATGCAGGCAAAAGTAAAAGACTAGAAATTTACTGGTGGAAAAAAGGAACAAAACCATAATAGGAGAGTTTCTCTTTGTCTAATGCATATTCCTCATTGGAATGGCATTAAGAGTTCCAAAGGCACATGGAAGATCACTGCCCAAGAAAGACAATTTGGATTCAAGCTTTTTAGCAGTCACATTTACAGTAAAAGAAGGTAATTTGTTTCATTACCTGATAAAGAGAGACAAATAACTATATGGCAGATTGACAGCACCAAAACCAGAGAGCACAGCCATGACAGTCACACCAATGACTCCAATCCTGCTGACTAACTGAGGCATGGTGAAGAATCCTGGAAAGTAAAATGAAACAAAACCAACTGATTTAAGAACACTTTAACCACCTTAATTCATACTACGAAATGAATGAAAACACAATTAGCTTCTTTTATTTTTAGTGAAGAAGGAAGGGGAAGAAAGAAAATATAAGGAAAGGAGGAGGGGGAGTAGTACAGTTAAACCTTTATCAGGAGAAGGCATTGGAAAGTGAATTCCCATGCGCCAAAAAGCATAGAGAAATGCTGATAAGAATAGAATTGCTCCCAATGCAGCTCGCCCCTTCCTCACACCTGAGATTGGAGAAAAAAAAAAGTTTCAACGTTTGAACATTAAACATATTCCAAGGAGTTGCTCAGAAGATTTTATATGATGAAGTCAATTTAGTAAGGGCACCCTCATATAAACAAAGAGTGTGCATTGCAAAGTAATCTCTAATATGTATAAAGCATTCATATGAAATCTGAAATGTTTCATTAGAAATAGAACCACCACACTGCTCACCAAGGTGAGCTGCTGGCAAGAAGTTCAAAGATTGCTCCTAGCATCATGGAGACAAAAACAGCAGAGAAGGAAAAGCAATTACAAATTACAATCCATCCCTGGACAACCCCATTCTATCTGATCCCTTACCAACCTGATATTCACATGAAAACTTTTTTTGAAGATAAATAAAAAAGAAAATTTTAATAAAAAGGAAGAAACCTTGGTGATGAGGCATTACCCAGTAAAACCAGAAAAGAGAAGAAACAATAAACAAACCGCTAGCCATTAACACCACCTTAACAAGATGACTCCCAATTACCGCTCTAAAGTAGTACAGTACACCAAAAAATCAGACCCAAAATCCTATCTTTTAAACCCCCTCAACGCTCAAACTATGGTAGACACAAAATCCAATCCACCATCCTTGAGCCAATAAAGCTGGTGATATTCACATGAAAACATTCGCCACAATAAAGGTTAAATTAATTCTTTTTATTGGTAAGAATGAGATAAAAAAATGAGCTATTTACAAAAAATGCCAAGCATCCCCTAGATTAAGCAGCTAAACAACCACCTTCCTTCTATAACTTACCACACAATTACTGTTACATCACAAATTTCTCACTGACCCCAGTACAACAGCCCTCAATTTACTCCTTTTTTGGACAAAGTATCAGCTAGCCCATTGGCTGATCATTGGTCCCATTTTACATTGAAAACCATTTCCCTTTTCAGAACTTTAATCTCCTTATGATATTCTTGTGTTTCCATGGGAGCAGATCCTCATTTCCCTTTTTCAATTGCACATTATAACTTATCCTTTTACTTGTATTAATAAAATTTTCATGTTATCCATAAAAGAATCTTATCAGAACATATATTAACCAAAAAACACAGAGTCAAAATGGAAAGTACATGGCATACATAATAAAGATAAGATAAATAAAAGATTAAAGGTGAGACAAAGAGAAAGATACCTATTTAAGTCTTTTTAATCTTCCCTATTTGATTTATACAGCTATTTGTTATGATTTTCTAGCCTTAAATGTGCAATTATACTTCTTCTAATGATTCCTTGAAAGTTTATCAACTAATTTCAGGATTTCAGAAAATTTCCTTGACTTTTTAGATTTTCCAAGTATCTTAGCGAAATTAGTAAAAGATCCCCAAAATTTCCCTATCTATACATGGAAAAATGTCCATCAATATCAAAATTGTGAATGATGGGTGTGCTTATTCCATCTGTTGGGTTCATATGCCCATCTACCAATCAACAGAAGACCACAATACATGGTCATAACCCTTCACTGTCATCATCTGAGATTGTAGACATTTTATCATCTATTAGATGGTTATCGAGCTCAATCCCTAGAGATTGTGAATGTTGATCAATTTGGGTTTCATTGGTCAAATTCAAGCACATCAGAAATTTTGGTTGTTCTGGTCGTTTTGCATTGAAGTAGTGTTATTCTTCCAAACTCTACATGTTACCATGTTACCATCTTGAGTTTGAGGAGGTCTTGAGAGATATGAAATTAGGCTAAGTTTCAATGATCCTTAAGACTTATATATAGCATAGATGTCAGGAATATAGATAAGGTCCTTTGAGTGAGTTGGAGTTGACAGCAATATCTTAGATAGCTTTGTCATAAAAGCTTATTTTGTTTAGATGCTGTCATGTCACCATTTTGAGTCTGAGGGGGCGTTAGGAGATATAAAACTGGGATATATTTCAATGACCTTTAAGACTTATATATGTAAAATAAGAGTAAACAGAGAAGAAGAAGAATTTATATTATTATTCATCAATCTCGTATGTATATATACAAGTTACAAATTCTATGTTAGGAAAGAATATATTAGGAAAGAAGACTAATCAAATTCCTACAAATCAGT